AATAGCCCAAAGTCATGAAGCTAATAACTTGAGTAGAGAATCAGGGATGTGGGATCTTGCTGGAGGAATCTAGCATGGGAAACCTGACAGGAGTGCCCTTGGCGGCCCTCCAATATTAAAAGCAAAGGTGAAGGGTCATGGCCAAAGTTATTCTGCTGATGAGTGCTGGAGTTGCAGGTGGGCCCCAGAAGCCCAAGGGTCAGGAGAAAGGCAAATGTAGTGTTTGGGGAGTAACTGGCACCTCTTCTACCGTTTCTAGTTCCACTAAGTTATTACGAAAGGAGAGCTAGTTACTTCCTGGTAGGAGCTGACTAACATCGGGTTAATTTTGGATTCTCATTGGCAGGACCTAAAAGAAAATCTTCCCACTGTCCTGCACTTTCTTATTGCATGCGGTCTTCTTTCTGTCTGAAGGCAAACCTGGTGCCCCGGTCTGAAATTTTCCAGAACTCTCTTTACTTCAAATAAGGACCAAGTTAATTTGTCTTTACAAGACATGCTGCTGTCAATCTTCTCTTCCTAAAACGCATGACATTCCCTCCTCGGCAACCTGCCATAGCTCCCCAGTACTTGCAGATTAAAAGCCAACCTCCTCCACGTCCAACCCCAGGTCTGGCACCATCTCTTGGCACAACCTTCCCCGCATCCCCTCTTCACCTGCCCAGGATACACACGACTCCCAGGATGCAGTTTTCATCTCGAATACCTTTCTTCCTCTTCTCGTCTTAGGCCATACACACTTTTTCTGCCAACTCAACATCTGTTCATTCACTCCTCCTGCCTTATTTGTTCATGGCAGCAAAGTGCCTAAAAATATTTGATTGCCCCTCCCTGGAGGGTTTGGGAGGCCGCGTGGCACAATTCTGGTCAATAAGCTAAGGAGGGAAATCCCTTACAGATGTGTTCCTTCTCAGATGTAACAGTAAAGCCAAACTAGGTAAAGACTCTTCGTGCCTCACTCATCCTACTTTCTCTTTCCTGGAATGCAGATGTGAGGCGTGGAGAGAGAGCAGCCATCTTCCCACCAGGAGACCACAGACCTGAGCCAAAGGCCTATACTCCAAGGAAGGCAGGGTGGAAAGATAGAGTCTAGATTCCCACTGGAACAGCTGAGGCATCGTCCCACCTGCCCTTCCTACCCGCCATCGTCCCAGTGAAGTCACTGGTGGTCAGGATTTCTGTTGCTGGCAGCTGAATGCAGTAATGTCTAATACACCTCTGGACATTGTTCCTCCTCATTCATGGGTCAGTTTGGATGTTACCCGCTCTAGGATACCCTCCATGGTTCCTTGGCTCAGAGCAGAATAATCATGCCCTTCACTGTGGTTCCAAGTAGTTACTTTTCTCAATTACAGCACTTATTTAATCCTGCTCGGTTTGGCCTGATGAGTGTTTCCCTGCCTGGATGCTCAGATTCCTCGGGGAAAGGGGACTCTGTCTCACGAGCATAATGTCTGCAGCAGCGCACTGCACTGGAGCACAGAATGCCCTCCGCTTACTAGCTGTTTGGTCTTGGGCCCCAAGTTAGAGAACCTCTCTGTGTCTCCGCCCCCTCGTCTCTAAAAAGGAGAGAATGAGAGTGCTGACCTCACAGGGCTGTCACAAAGACAACCTTAAGAGGGGTCAACGAAATAGTTTAATCATATGCGCTTAGAACAGCCTCTGGCATATAAAAGTGCGTAGTGACGGAAGGCTCTTATTAGTGTGGTGAATATTATAGTTGCTGAAGGAACAAATAAATCAACACATAGTTAGTAAATAAATGAATAAAGGAATGAACCCCAGGAAGGCTCTTATGAGTTCAGGCCACAGGGCAGCGGTCATTGCTCCCTCTTTCCTCCCTGTGCCTGACCCTTTCCTTTTCATTCTAACTAGGACTTCCCATATCCAGGGAGCTGCTGCAATGGAGTGTTTTAAGCTAAGAAGTAAGGCCTGGCTTCGAATGCTGACTTCATTTTTCGCTGTGCAACGTCGGGCAAGTTTCTTCACCTCTCTGAGCCTCCGTTTCTTCGAGTGTAAATGGGATAACAAGAGTACTCACAGGGTTATGGCAAGGATTAAATGATAAAGCATGTAAAGTACACAGCGTTGTGCCTGCCATACTGAAACAGTAAGTGTTGGCAACTGTTATCAAACATTGCCATTTTTCTTTTTGTCAAATTTCTAGCATCCTACCCAATCGCGTGGCCCTGATGTGGATGAGACACTTAGTTAGAGTGGAGTCACCTTTCTGCCCCACGGGGGCATGCCAAGATATACGGCATCCACATCAGGGAGAATATCCTTCTTGGGTGCCAACAAACAGCTCTGTCATTTTGGTCTTTTCTTTTACATGGGGGATTATTTAACATACGTCAGGTGCTCGGATGACATCATTTCATTATTAACGTTGATGAGAAAAAAAATCGTTTCCCAGCCCAGGGCTCCTGTCAGTGAGGAGTCTGCATGTTCTCCCCATGTCTCCCGGGCTTCTCCCTGAGGACTCTGGTTTCCTCCCACATCCCAAAGATGTGCATGTTGGGTGAACTGGTGTGTCTAAATTGTCCCATTCTGAGTGGGTGTGGCATCAGTGTGAATGCATCCTGCGATGGAAGGGGTCCCGCCTTGCACCCTGAAATGCTGGGACAAGCTCTGCCCACCCGCAAGCTTGGACTGGAATAAGTGAGTTGGCAAAATAGTTATGCTTCTTGTTTTTATTAATCTTTCTTAAATGAATGTAAAGCTTGCGTATTTCAATGTTTAATGTTAGAAATGTTTTGGGTCTTTATTTAGAAGTTTGGTGATGTTTTCGTGACCAGAAATAGGCTATAGGAACTTAACTCTTACATCAATTAGCCTAGGGTCAAACTGGTTGCATCGTGGGTCATTTCACTTAAAGTTGAAGTCCACAAACCTACTGATTAAGTAAGGACTTACTGTATCTGATTTACCCTAAAAATGTGGCCTCTGAATTTTCTTAAGAGCTGTTAACTTCAGGTAGATCCTTAGTTGAAATCAAACCTGGTAGGTGTGCACAGCAGCACAATCAAAGTGTGGAGCTTTTAAACAGCAAAGATATTCCCACAGTTCAAAGGTCTAGTTATTGTCAGTGACGCATCCAATCTTACTTATAGAACTTTTCCCCCTTTGCTCCTAAAAGATGTGTATACAACTCTCTCTAACTTTTCCTTTAAACTTAAATCGAGCCTTCATGTTAGTGCCATGCAAGCACTTGACAGCTTCATTAATCTATTTCCTCTATTAAACATGCCATTCCACAAGATATTTATCCCACTTGGTCTTCATCCAAATGCTTTTTGACACTACTGCCTTGGGACTGAACTGCTTAAACTCAGTGCCCTCATAGATAGAGAGTCACTGCTCCTCTGAAATCTTGAAGAGCTCTCAGGACGTCACTCCCTTCACTTCAACAGGCATTAATTTCTGCTCTCCCTAAAGGAGCAAAGAAGGGAGAGAGAGGGAGGGGGATAGGGTGTGTGTGTGTGTGGCGGGGAGAGATTCGGTCTGAGTGTGTCTGTGTGTTTTAGAAGGGTAACTGTGGGAGGTCTGAGCAAGCCAAGGGATGAAGAGGAGGGATTCCTGCCCCGGGAACACTGCCCAACAGGGCCCACCTCAGACCTGGGGAGAGGCCAACTTCGAGAGAAAAGGTGCTCATCAGAGATCAGATAGAACTCTAGGGCCTTTAAAGACAGAAATCCCTGGGGCCCATGCTGGGCAGGGGCTCTTTCAAATGAGAGGGGTCCAGAGAAAGTCGTTACTCTCCCACCTCCCGGGCAAACAGCAAAGCCGAAACAGCTGACTCGGAAGCCCTTCAATCAGGTGGAAGCCTGAGCAAATCACAACTTGACTTCCCCGTCAAGTTTTCTCCTTAGCCTGACAAGCCACCCTCCTGCTCCTCCTCTGCCTCCGAGCACCGCACAGCGACGAGGCCAAGGGGACCGTCCTGTGATGCTCACTGGTTTCCAACTTTCCGCTCGTCTCCGTCTCCGCCGCCTCGTGCAAAGCGGCTGGGCAAAGGGCAAGTTTGCAAACGCGAGGCTACCAAGTCCTGGGGAAGCCACAAAGAAGCTGCCACACCAACAAAGATTGACCTCTCGTGGGGCAGACGCACAGCGCCAGCTGCCGTTCCGGGGGTGAACGTGGGCTGGGGCTGGCCGAGGCGGGCTGCGGGCGTGGGCCGGCCTGCGGCGGACAGCCAGGCTGGGGACCCCGCGGTCCCCCCACAGCCCCTCCCCACGTGGGCGCCCAGGCACCTGAGCGGGGCGTGGGGACAGC